CCGCGTAAATGTCTGTAGGTCTGCCTGTCAGTGTCTGCCTTTTCAGTAGGTCTGTCAGTCACTAGATCTATCAGAAGTTTCAATCTAGAGTAGGCTGTCTGTCTGGTCTCTTCTAAAGGTCTGGTGTGTTGCTGTTTGTAGATTTCTTTTTTCTTCTCACTTTTTTGAATGTTTAGTAGCCTTGAATTGCATTACATATCTTATGAAAACTTTAATGTTTTTCTAAATTTATACAAATATATATTGCAAGTGTGTAGTATATATAAATTACATAAGTATCACAAAGAAAGCCAAAAGAGTACATGCTGTTTAGCACATTAGTTTCATTTTTTCCTAACTTACCAAACTAGAGTTTTAATTTTACCAATCTAAAAAATATCTACATTAAGTTTCCCTGATAACCCAACTCAAACTTTATTAAAATGTGAAATATTACAGTGTCATGGCGGAAGACATTTCTTCTGTAGCTAGTCTGAAAACCAATTTGTGTAAAATCAATAAATGTCATTATTATAAAAAAAAAAAGTTATAGCTCTTTACTCCCCACAAATTTTTATTTAAAGGAAAATGTCTGAAATTTATGAAACGAAAAAATTTAACTGCATGAATTTGATGTTTTGATATAAATTATCTTGAACTTATACATTTACCTTGAATAATACTCCGAAGAGTGGACAATAGTTCCACCGTCTTTCACGTGCAACATTCAGACACAGACCCCAGGGTTCATTTTCCTTCTCCACGGTGTTTAGAGAAAATACCTCTTGTCAGGCTCGTCTTACTGCAATGATAGATGGCCAATTTCTCTCAAAACCTGCCACAAAAAGTTTTCCATACCTCAGTAAAAGCTTACTGGCCTAAAATTGTTCTTCTTTCCAAAGAGTTATTAAAAAAACACAAAACAGCTCATTATATAAATAAATCATTATACCTTAATTTTAAGATACTGCTCTAAGCAGAAATATCGATAAGATGTCAGTTTTTCTGTAGACCCAAATTCCATACATCTTCAAATCATCAGGATCAGCATAAACAACAATTCTTACTCTGCACCACTCTCCACAATTACTCTTCTCCGATAGTTAGTGGTCTGCGATTTTCATTGCTGTAATCAGAGACAGCAAAGAATAACTTTTTGTTTGCAATCCTTTCTCAAAAAAGAGCATACTCCTGTTTCATTGTAAACTGAAACTTGATGAAACAGCCAGCTTAAACATTCACCTCAATCACAGCCAGTTTTTTGTCGTGACTGATCTGACAATGACACCTAACAAAGGTAAGTATTTTCTCCCTATTAGATGTTATCTAGCCCGGGGATCGTAACAGCTATGACAATTCATTTTAAATTCAAGAACCTGTATTAGTACAATTACAATTTTCCAATTTTCTCACAATCTTGTTGTTATAAGCAGCAGAAGAGCGGTGGAGATTACTGTTCATTCGGTTACTATTTTTTTGTTGATCTTGATGTCCAGTAGGTCTGCCACATCATAAAATAGGTGGCCAGATGTGAGTTGTCAATAAAACGTCAATAAATATAACAAGTCAATAAAACGGTAAAATCGGAGTTTGAAGATATTTACAGAAATAAAATGTTTTATTTCTGTGTTAGAAAACCCCCTTTCAAAATTTTCAGGGGAGGTAAAGGGCCCCCTGACCCAATGTGCATGCCTATGGTGATATCTAGAAATGCTTATCTTGCAGAAGGTGTCATTTATTTTTCACATCACAATAAATGCTTTTCATGCACTGTCTAAAGTTTCCTGAAGATGCAAACTGCACATTCAAGTCAAGGAATGGGAAGCAATTAAGAGTAATGTGCATATGGAGAGTCTAGAAATAAATGAATTTGTGAACGAGTTGGTACTCTCTTTGCTTTGTTACACATGCTCAGGAAGGCTTTTCATATTTTGTAGTTTGTAAGTAATAAAAGTATTTCACAAACTAAACATACTTATTTTCATTTCAAACAGTATACTTGAACCAATTGCTTGTTTCCCATATTTTCAAAACCTTATTTTGGATACCTTTTCAAGGAATTAAACAAACAAGGAGTTTCATTACTGTACACATCTTTGTATGTGTGCATGCCCAAGCATATTTAATTAACTAAAAGAAAATGTAGTGATTCTCCTTGATCTCTAATGTACCTGCCTATTCCTCTTAATTTTTTTTTTCTCTTTCTCTTTTATATACATCAACAAACAGATAATGGAAGATCATGATCACACTTCAGAGTTAAGAAGTTACACATTTTTTGATATTAATTCATTTTAATCGTTATAAAAAAAATGATTGAAAGCACCATACTGTTATTTAAATATTACACAATGTCAATAAAATGTAATTGACTGGAAAGAAATGGAGTTGTACACTTCAAATTTACTTTTCAAGAAGTTATAGGTCAAGAAAATTACCACAGATTTTCTCTGAACAGTACATAAAAAAAACATGAGACTTACTTGTTTTACAACTAAAGAAATTCAATTTAAGTAGGACTATCTAAAATGTGCAGATAAAAATGCAGCAAATCTGAGACTAGGAAAAGCTGATGCAAAAATAAAATGTGAAACCTTTATACCTAGCCTTTGTGTGGTTTTCTTTTTATCTAATAACTCAAAAAGCACCAACTTCACACACAGTTAATATACATACCGTTTAGAGACTCACTGGAGCAAAAAATATTATAAAATAATTCAAATACCTGCTGAGGACCTTAAATGGAGAATTCTCTATTATAACAGCAATTGCAAGTCCTGTGTCATTTTTTATGGTGAAAGGAGCAACAGCTTCTGCACGTATGAGAGATCCTGCAAGAGCAGTCTGGAAAGACTTCCCCAAATTGACAAGAACATCCAAGCATGTCTTGGAGATTGTCAATTCCAGATTTTCCTGCAGAGATACAGAAAGTTTATTATAGATTGGAATGCATAAACTGACAATGAGAACGAGAGAAAACAGAGTATTGATTTCGTCCCTAGGATACATCTAAGAATTTTTAAATAAATAATAATGATGCATAACTACTAATATTTAAGACAAAAGGCATGTTTTTGATCAATATTGTCCAAGAAAATTCTCATTAATTATCTGTACAATCATCCTTGTATTTAGATACTCAATTAAGAACTGCTCTTTGAAATGAACCAACCGAATATTTTGAAATATTTAACAACAAATGTAGTTTCTAGTTAGTTCTTGCCTAGTCATTTCCCCTGTAATGTTCTCTTATGTCATCATTAACTCACTTTTGAAGAGATTTCAATGGCCATCAAAGGAGGCTGCACATGAAGTTCCTCCACTTCCACCTCCGATTCTGAAGTGGGACTCATTACTGGAGGGGCTTCAAGTGGGTTCATGTGCATCTTTAAAGCAGAAAAAGAAGTTTAAAAAACTAGACACTTAATGAGTTTCATAACAGAATATCCAGACACTATTAAAACAAATTCCATGATATGCTACTTTTGTTAAGAAAACTAATTTAACAGATGTATAATAATTTATTTCTCATAATAATTTAAGAAAGGATGTCATATACTAATGAATACTTAAAAAACTGTGATTTGAACAGAGCCATTCCATTTAGGAAATACTTTTAATATAAAATTTTTTACTCCTTGTGTTTTTAAATACTCCTTGTGTTAGTTTCAGATTTATCAACGCACTTGCAAAATTTTGAACAAACACGAAACAAATAATCAAAGAGACAGGTGGCTGAATCCATTAAAAAACCAAATAGTCCTGACTTAATAGGGCTTTTCAATTTACTCAATGTTCTATTTTCTGTTTTTTCCAAATTGCAAATATTTTTAAAAACATAAGTATCTTGCCTAGTCTCAAAATAACTCCTTTCATAAATTTGAAAACAAAAAGTTTCATAACAGTTTACAATTATATGGCATTTAAAGCTTATGGGAGTGGACAAAATATGACCATTCTTTGAAGCTAATTAAAAGTTTCACAAAAATATCTACAAAATTCATGAATTTTTATAAATCTTTTCAGCTATTTGAAAGAGTTTAGGTGTGAAATGTAAACATTACCCATCAACTTGTATGATTATATTTAGAGATATAATTCATGTTTACATATACCTTCAGATTTAATATTTATTTGAAAACTCAATCCGCCAAACAGAATTAGATCAGATTACCCAATGTCAGCTTTATTTCTATATTACTAATTTCTAATTTACTCAGAAATTGAAAGGAAACTATGTAGCCTCCAGTCATGCAAGAGGTATCTGGGTTTTTTGTCAATACCAACAGACTTGAAAAAATCCCAAAAAGTATTAGACAGTTTTGATTTGGACTGAAAAATACAAATAAAATTGTGTTATTCCATCCATTTTCAAATTGCTTGTATCAAATGAATTCTCTTACTCTGTGTATCACTACTTTGACAGCATTGACGTGATGTTATGAGAGGACTGTATGGAAGAGTCCACAAGAGTCTGGGAGAACAGTTTATACCAGTAAAAAGGAAGAATTAATTGAACTTAAAGAGAAAAAGAGAAGAGTTAAAATTAAGAAAAAGTTAAAGAGAAAGTTCCCAAAATGCAATAAAATATTATTTCACTCTGATAAGGAAAATATACTATAATTTAAATGCCATCTCAATCAATGGAAAATTTAAAAAAAAAAAAATAATTTTCTAGCACAAATATATTTTTTTGTGACTGATAATCAGAATAATATGAAGAAATCAATATAGCTGTCATATTTAATACCACTACAAAACCAAAAGTGAAATGCAGTTATAAAGTATGAATTCATAAGAAAGAAGCAAAATATATAATGCACTAAACTTAAAGAAGGTAATTCATTAATTTAATAATGACAAATGATTAATTGGATTTTCTAACGGAACAAAAAAATATTGGCAAAGAAGGGATTAAGAGGAGAGAAGAATGCAATGCATACCTTAAATATATGAATATATAAGAAAGATAACTTTCAAAAACCTCAAGCAAATAGAAGAAGATTATTTATTGGCAGAATAAGTTTAATAGTGGATGGCAGTGGCTTTTGAGGGAGGTGAACTACTATTTTGCATATTGTTTATTACCTGAAGACGCAATTCCCAAGGAACATGAGCAACAATTCCATTTTCCTGTTGCACTTCTACTGGTTCCAATAAAGGTTCCCACAAAGCTAGAGCACTATTGTAATATTTGATTTCCAAACTCATACAACTGTCAATAAAAAGACGTGAGCTCCAATTGTTTATTGCTCCATTGAAACTCATATCAATAAGAATCATTGGCAAAGTTTGGTTTCCAACTCCAGCTTCCACAGTGATAACAATTGATGAGACAGACACAATACAAAGTTCTCCTTGCACAGTGGGCTTTAAAGGCTCCTCTAGAAAAATGCTCTCACTTGCTTCTTCAGCTTCATCTACATTTAAAAAACATTAAACCAAGTTAAAACCCTCACCAGTATAAATTTTAATGCTAATATATTTCAAGATGACAATGATGATACCTGTTTTAAAATACCAATATTGTTCCTCTGAAAACGGCTTAGGTTGCCACATGTCTGAATAATCAGTACGTTCCTCTGTTTTCTGAATTTTCTGTGGTTCTGGCAGAACCAATCCTTTTTGCACATTAGTTAAAAGTTCAATGATCGCTAGAAATTAAATAATTGGTCTAATAGAAATATAACATTATTTACTTTTAACAAATTCTACTAGTGTTAGCTTTTGAATTTTGCTTCAACATTTTTGTAGAAATTCTGCAAATTCTAGAACACAAATGTAATTGAAAACAATTTGTTTGAAATAAGCAATGAAGATTTCACCTGGAGAAACACTAAGTCGTACTGGAGTCAAACAGATATCCAAATGTAATCCTTCTCCTCCGGGTGTTGATCCAGCAATACTAATGCAACAAGGTCGCAGAATCTAGTAAAAAAGAAAATATTATGAAATTCAGTATGATATTTCTGCAGAAGTAAAATCAAAACTTGATAGGGCAACTCTATAATAATTTGTAGGAAACAACATTAAATGTAAAAATGGTAATCAATGTGAATATTAAAATTAATTTAAATGGGTTCATTAATAAAAAATATGTATAAAATTTTCCTACAATGGACACTACTTCCAACACTCATCATTCTACTACATTCACAACCTTCTCACTAATTTTCTTTCAACAATCCAGCAGTCTTTTATTTCTGCAATACATATCTTTGATAACATGCAATAACCACCAAAATTTGGATGATGATGATGATGATGATGATTTGAGCCTGGAGGTTCAGCAAAATGCCTTTTTGTTACTATTTTTTATGCCTTTTAACAATAGGAATCACTTAATTCTGAAAGGCTTTTAGATTTTCGCCTTTTTTTTTTGCCTATTTTGGCTTCTGATACTTTTTTTGCCGTTTTCTGCCTCTTACGACATTATTTTGCTTTTCATCTCCTGGCACCAATATCAACCTAGCTTGATGTAATATATCACAACTTTTGAGTATGGTTTCCAATTCCTTTAAAGGCAGTTCTCTGTGTATGATATATTCTTCTCAGTGCTGGCGTTTACACAAGTGCAAAGAAGAGATTTCATGTCTCATGTGTCATGCATATCTCATACTGAATCAATTATCAATTAGAAAGAAATCATTTTTTCCCCATTCTAATTTTAGAATTAGAATAAAAAACAATAAAAACAATATCAATAATGGCCACAGCAATGGCGGTGGTGACAGCGATGGCGACAACAACAATAATAATAAAAACAATAATAAGAATAATAAAAACAATAATAATAATAATAATAATAATAACAACAACAGTAATAATTATTACTTTAATGAATTTATCATCATAGAAAAACATTACAGTGTACAAATCAAACAAATAAAACCATTGCCTTCAAATATAACAGAAAACAACAACAACAAGAAAAGGTTAGTATATAAAGTTACATTTAAGTCTAGTAAGTTTAAACAAATTGCTAAAAAAAGTAGTTTTTGTACTTTGTATGATGCACATTTGTCACCCCCTCTAAGTGCTTTATGAACTTGTCAGAGAGGGATAAGTCACGTTTCTCATTTAGTGCAAAACAATCACTGTTTATTGTCCACACAAATAACTATTAAGTGAGCTGTGGGAACTGAAACATTTTGGGATGAGCCAACTTAAATAATATAATTTATTATTAAGCATCTTGCCATCACGGTAGAAAATGATAAGTTATTAAAAATACTTTATCACCATGCGGGCAGAAGGGAATGAGCCAATATAAATAATATAAATCATTTCCATCATCATTATTAAAATTAATAAATTTTCTACAAATACTTCATCGACATGGGGCCGAATAGAACGAGCAGGACGTCCGCCTTTCCGAATGATGTTATCAGGGTGATTCCCTCTATAAGTAGCAGGGTATTTAAAGGGACCTCCCAAAGCACCGGGACACAGTTCTACTGAAAAGTGAGATGCCCGCCGGAGAAATGGAGGCGATGTTAAGAAGCAAAAGGTTGACTTGAGGGCTCTCTCTCTCTCGAGCGCTCTCTCTCTCTCTAGCTCTCTCTCTCTCTCTCTCTAGCTCTCTCTCTCTCTCTCGAGCTCTCTCTCTCTCTCTCGAGCTCTCTCTCTCTCTAGCTCTCTCTCTCTCTAGCTCTCTCTCTCTCGAGCTCTCTCTCTCTCTCTCTCGAGCTCTCTCTCTCTCTCTCGAGCGCTCTCTCTCCCTCTCTCTCCGCTACATTCCTTGTGTTTCCTCATATAGTAACTTCAGTGATATTGAAGCAATTTAATTTAACTTAACCACTTCATGACTATTTCTTCTCCAGGCATAACCCCCCCTTCCCCTTCCTCTGATCATTTTTAATGCGACAACCTTTAACAGAATTCAAACTATTGCCACCACCCAAGAAATAATCACAAAAGAAATATAGTCAACTTATTATAATTTACATAATTAAAACAACAAAATATTATATAATTAAAAATATTTTATCATTAACTACATATCACCCACAGAATTAACTTAATCAAAAATACAATACAATTCAATTATAAACATTTTATCATTAATAATGATTTACTAATTTAACAAATAAATCATAAATTGCAAACACATTTTATCATTAATTAATTTCAGAATATTATTTTAAATATCCAATCAATTGTAAAAAATACAACATGCAAAATGTAACAGTCAAAAAGGAGATTGCATTTGACCAAAGTAAAAAATTGACATCATATTGTTGGTAAAGTCTTTTTTTAGCTCGTTTGTTTTTATAAATAATTAATAATTTTGTGCTTTATCTTGTGCTTTCTATTTTTATATTTTGTCTAGTAAACCAGTCTTTTAGTCTCTTTTTCAATTTTCTTTTGGACGAAACTTCTATCATTTCATCTGGCAGAAAGTTGAGCAGTTTTAGTATAGCTGTTTTAAGCCAATTTTTTCTCCAAATTTAATAAAAGTCTCTGGCAGTATTAAACTGTGTTTCTTTCTATTATCATAATTGTGTTCACTGATTTTTCTATATTCCTCACTGAAAAAATTTCTTTGTAAAAAATACAATTTTATACATAAACATACAACTTTCTAACAGTCATGATTCCATGCACCGCTGTACTCTCTACCAGGGTTAGGTTACATATATTCATTTTTGCATTGACGATTTTAATGCTTTTGTTCTGCAAATTTTGAATAATACCTACATGGGTTTTTGATGCAGCTTTCCATACTCCAACTCCATATCTGACTATTAATAAGAAGTAGACTAAGTTGAAAATTTTATAAGATACGAAATCTTTAAGCCTCATTAGTTTGCACACACATGTTCGTAATTTCTTGCTTAAATCCAAAATCTGCCCTCTCCAGCTCAGATTTTTATCGAAAGTTATGTCCAAATACTTCAGTTTACTTACAGAATTAATTATACTGTTACATTGACAGTTCTTAAAGATTTTGTGTACACAATCATCTTTGTGAAAGAATATTTTAACTTCTTCCCTTCAATTCTTGGTGCTGTGATATGCAATATTTTAGCATTTTTTCATTTATCCTTTTGTCATAGTACCTTTTTTAGAATATATTTTGGAACAATAATAATAATAATAATAATAATAATAATAATAATAATAATAATAACATAACAACAATAATTTATTACCTGATAAGTAGTTTCTGCTCGTCTTTTGGGATTGAACACACAAGAATATAGTTCTAGATCTTTTATTGAACCACAGATAACTTGATGCTGGTCTGAAAGGCGCATTTTCAAGGTGAGTTCTTTCTGTAAGAGACAAAATGATATGAATATTTTAAATACTGTTTCTACTTCTTCTGTTTTCCCTGTTCTTGAAAACTTGTAAAAGGGAATTTTTTTCTTAAATTATATATACATATACACATTTTGCGAGATATATTCTCTCACTCCCCCTCCCTCATCCATCCCAACAGTGCTTCTATCTATGCTTCTGCCCTTGCCAACTTCATCCTTCATTGCCAATGTGATATGATTAAAAAACGGTCATAATTACAGTGTGAACACTATTAAAATAATTTTAATGAAGGAAAATTCTCTTAATATTGATATAATATTTTACTTTAAGGAAAGAAAAATAAATTCAACAAATTTAGTATCTACACACTACATTAACGCTTCAACTTTTTTTTTCTCTGTTCTATTTCATAAATTAAAAACAAATGATTTATTTTAAAAAAATTTGAAATAGCTAAAGGTAAGAATTTTAATTTCTTTTAGATAGTAAATAATGCTTACATTCAATACTATTGCTTTGGTATTGATATCAGATACAGACTCCACCATTATGATATCAGGTTTTTCTACTCGTACATTCAGAGTCATTTTGCCTTTTTTCTCAGGGACAATATTGTGAGTGCAAGAACCAGCAATAGTCACTGTTTTATTGCTTGCTGTAGTTCTAGTTGTAGTTCGGCTGCTCTTTGTTGTTGCAGGTACTATTTCCGATTTATAATCCTCTGCAATTTCCTTCATTCTGGCTTGATAAGTCCATCCCGCAAAGAAATCACCCACCTTCATTAAATACTCAGTACTTAATACCAGGTCAAATCCAAAAATCCGAACATCCACTACATTAAAAAGAAAGAAAATTGATTATAATTTATACAATTTTAATAATTTCATTATATTAATTAATTTAAAAGAATGAATACAGTTACAAGTCAAGTCATGGGGATAAATGATTAATGAATACTGAAATCAGTAATTCATGAATACCACAATAACTAAATAGTTTTTATGCACACAATGCAATAGAGAGAAAAAACAGATGGAGTCAATATATACTAATATAAAATTCTACAGATAGTACATACAAATATTAACTTTTTATTTAATGTCAATACATAAAACAAGCCACAGACACACGACCTGTTATTAACCCACTTGGCAGGTGTGAGAGAGATGGATACCATATATTGGATAACATATCTTTTTCATTTATACTTATGAACATCTTATCTTTCTATTAACATGTGTAATTGAGAGTAAATAGCATGGTTTTTTAAATAAGGTTTTGAAAAGAATCTGCTATTTAAATAACTTTTTTTATTTATGAGAAATCAGTAGTCCAACATTTCTCTAAACAGCAACTTAACTGCATCAAAAGTAAATGTTTTTGTAATATAAATATATATCTGTTCAATTTGAGTTTAGAACTTCAACATGGCATTGTGATGAAATAGTGTAGCATAAATTGACAGTCTACAAAAAATAAGGATAAAAAATCATAAAGTTTAATATAAGACAGTTATAAAAAAATCACAAAATTAAATTATTGAAGATTATTCAAAAGGAAATCAAATGGAGAATAGCTAAAGATTAATATGCATAGTTGTAGAACTCTATGCACTACAAAGGAGCACAATGACATCACATTAAAAGAGTAAAATCCTATCTACAGTCATGAATGATAAAACAAATTTATATAACAATGATGACAGTGATGTTAATAACAGAAGTAACGATAAAAGAATGATGCATGAATTATACATTCTAGAAAGTTTCCCTAATGCTATGTTGGCAATTTAGAGAGTTTAGTAAAATTAGAAATAATTGACATAATAAAAAAATTGTTTAATTTACCAAATGAATCTTCGCCTTTCTGTTGGTACGTTACATCTAACATACTCTTGAAAGATTCTTCTGCTACCTCTTGTGTTTCAGTTTGAATGACATCCTGAGGTGCATCTGTCTTTCGTTGCATTAGTCTTGTTATTTTTGATTTGGTTCCAGAGCGAGTATCATCCAAAAGACAGTCCACCAACAAAAGAGAAGTGCTAAGTGTTCCATCAGAGAAAACATGTCCTTTCAGTGACAGGAAGTTCAAAGAGAAACGACCCAGTCCCTCCTCATGTTTACTCAAGTCGGCTGTTTTATATTCCTAATAGGTACAAACAGATGAAATGTAAACCTCTTTAACATTTATTACACATTTTTTATTTACAACGCTTAAATCATACAAATTTAGGAAATATATACTCTCTAGCAATGGCAGCTGGTGCTCCAACAAACTGATGGTTGCAGCTCCCTTGAAAGACGGAAATGTAATTTTCAAAATCAGAACACTAATATTATAAAACTTAAGCAATTCACGTAAAATATTGAAACCAAGTTTAATAAAAGTCTATATGGAAAGATAACTTGCATCATTTTACACGTAGTGTCAGTGTCAAGTATAATCACTTCCTGTGCACATTGTTTCTGGTTTTGATTTCTAGTAGGCACTTGAGTTTTTGTGCTAGTCAATTACGCACTGAGGTAATTGACTGCAATAGAATTCATACATAACAAGCAAAAATTTGGTTTCAAAAATACAGTGAAAGCACTCCAGCACTTCGCATCAAGTAACTATTGTTCAACACATTTTACACAAATAAAATTATTTTATTTAAAAAATTCCACTAGCTAGTATTTATTGCAATAATGAAAGATCATCTACACACACTCGTATTCACAGTATCACTAGCAGACTATCACTGCTGTAGTGATGAGATTTGATAGTGCCCCAGCAGTTCGAGATGCACACACCATGAGAGACAGAAAGGGACTTCCTTCCAGAACAGCCAACTTTAGAAAACGGACTCAACAAATGTACATGAAAAAAAAAACCTAACATCAGATGAAAATAAATTCTTTAAACATCATAAATAATGCATTCAATACCGTCAACGAGTGTCTGAACTTGTGTACTTTCAATACTACGTGAGATTGATAAAATGAGTTTGAGCAGTGTCAGATAAAGACAGAAAATTGGTATTCCTCTCTCATGCCATGCAGCGCTTGGCGATTACATAGAATCCCCAAACACTGGTTGTTGCATCGAAAGTCCCTATGGTGAAGCATAAGGCCAAAGAGCGAATGCAGTAAATGCAGTAAAAGACCCAAGAGTGTGACATGTTACGCGGGCTGGAAAGACGCCTGACAGAGCACTTGTTTGGCGCTCTTTGGTTTCAAAAGAATTCCATATGCATCAATATTGCTGCAATGTCTTGAATATTGAATGTCATATGTTCCTAACATATCAGGTGTTTCTTGATTATATAAGGGTAGTGCAACCATGCAACCTAAGCACAAGCCACCAATGCTCTCAGTAATAGTTTAGTAATAGTAACCCATCACCAGGATTATGTTTCTTTTCAGGAGAAATAATACTCAGAAGTTATGACATTTTCATTTCATAAAGGTTGACATACAGGTTACAATAATCATATGAAACATTGCGTTTGTGAGAAAACACTCGACAATTCACAATCCAGTTATTCAAATCCATTTATTCAAAACTTCAAATGGTCTTACCAACTCAGAACCACCTGAAAACAGATCCACCACAAGTTTATCCATTGTGAAAGTAAATTTAACAGTAGTTGTGACTGGTCCTGTTGGAGATTTGGCCTGAGGAGTTACTT